AACTTCTTTTAATGTGATCCTCTTGATTTGGTTCTTCACAACAATCTCTACTACAATGGAGCCAATTTCAATAGCTTGCACCATGCCATTGTCTCTCAACCACACTTTTGTTGCTGGAATTTCTTCACAAGTATTAAATGAACACTTGTATGGTGTCATGTGCTTAGTAGCACCTGAATCTATAATCCACTTTGAAATAGCAGCCATGGAGGCTCCTTCCCTTACCATGAAAGCATACTCATCTCTACCAAAACTATCACTAGCATTGTTTGCATTCTTTCTATCTCTTTTCTTGGTCTTGTAGTAATTTCTAACAAAATGACCTAATTTTCTACAAATATAGCAATTCCTCATATTACTTTTTGAATTATCATGTTGGTGAGAATAGCTACCTATGCCTTGTCTTAAAAATAGAGCCAAATCATCACTTGCAAGCTCCTTTTGTTTCCTCTTGGTCACTTCATGAACAAGTCTTGACATGACATAGTTCATGGTAAGCTCTTTCATGTTGATGGACTCCAATGCCACAATGAGGTAGTTATAGGATTCGAAAAGGCTCATGAGTAATATCAACACAATATCCTTATTATCAATTGGTTTGTCAATAACCGCTAGTTGGTTAGCAAGTGCTTTTACCTTGTTAACATGAGCCATGAAGTCATCTCCTTCTTCTATCTTTATTGTCAAGAACTTCCTCCTTGTCCAAGGGATGTTGACAAGGTTTCTACTCTCATAGATGTTGCAAAGAGTCTTCCATAATTCCGCTAGTTCATTGCAAGCTATAACATGTGAAAAGTTGGCATCAACAAGGTTTGTTGCAATCATCCCAAAAGCCTTCCTTTCATGACGTACAGGTTTTTATTCCTTCTTCACCTTGATATCAGCATTGTCACTTGGAGGATCTTCACTTTCATCAACAATGTTCCAAAGGTCCAATGGAGCCAACAAAAGCTCCATTTTCTTCTTCCAATGGTAAAATTTTTCACCTCTAAACTTTTCAATCACTTTCAAGTTCTTACCTTCACTTGAAGCCATGTCTAGGGAAGGAATGTGTGAAAGAAAATCAAGAAAAGAGAAGATAGAATTTTCAAAATCAACAAGAAGGTGTTGCTGCCTTAGAAACCCAGAATGCCCTCTTTGTAATTATACAAGTGATTTCACTCTTGTATCACTCTCAATTTCACATATAAAACTTCTCACAAGTCTTATACTATATCTAAACCTCTTGCATAAGCTTTGCCACTCTTCGATCACCCCTCTAACTACACAAAATACTTCTTATAATAATAGGAGAATATCTTATGAAGTTAAGTATATGAAAGCACAAAGTTAGAGTACCAATGATGAAACTCAGCAAAGAAAAACAATACTCAAGTTCTAAAATTTCATTAAATAGAGTCTAAAAACAACCAAGACTATCAATGCACTTAACAACAAGTAAGAGCAAAAACTACATCAACAACTAGATGCATAAGAAGGGTTAGAAGAGAACAAACTCAAACTTCAGCAACAACCATAAGATCTATTTGTCACAACAAGAAAGACTTCAAAGTACTTCAAAACTCACTAGTAAAGGTGAGTGGGCCCATAATCTATTGAAGAACAAGCACTTTGAAGACACAATACTTAGCATCAGCAAGGTTGCACACAAAGAGAGTATGGAATAAGATATCTCTCACTTCCAATATCCATTACTTATAGGTAGTGATTGCTGCCCTAAAAGACAACTTCTACTCTTTGACTTTTATACACATGGCCCTAGGATCCTTTTGGCATCTCACGAGCCTCAAGGATATCTTATGACATATACTAATGACTCATACTTAGTCTTTGGATATTCCCTTTTTAATACTTTATTCTTTTGACTTTGACTCTTGATCCATGACTTCGTCATATATCCATTGGATGCCCTTATCATATACCAAGAGTCAAACTTTTGACCACTAGCAACTTATCTAAGTTAATATCTTCTATAAGATAACTTATTCTACTTTTACTTTAATAGATATTTAATATAAAATTTAAGGAGAAGATTGGAACTCAAAGATAAAGATCAAAACCTCTAAGAAACTTATTTGGAGGAATGAAAGCAAGATATGGATGGATGAAGATAAAAATTAAAGATCTTCATTTTTATTGGCCGAAAGCCTTGCCAAATAGACATTCAGTAGGTTGTCCGTGACCATAATAAAGATTTCGGTGATTTTAGAAGGGGCATTTAAAAATTCAAAGCAAGGATTGTAAGATTTAGAATTTGGACTACAATTTATATGCAAATTTTAGAGGATTTGGAATTATAGTGATGAAGTTATAGCTGTTTGAAGTTAAGATGTTTTTTAAGACATATTGTTGTTTTTTAAGACATATTTTTGAAGATAAAAGGTATTTTATGATCAATTTTGGAGATCAAAAGATATAGCAGCAAGGATGATTTTAAGATTTATAACTTTTGTGAAAGACATTTTGTATTTAGAATTTTTATGAAGAAATTATAGAGTGTTGAAGACAGCATATGTAATTCAAAGGTAATAAATTAGTCATTTTGTTGATAGTAATGGTTGAAACCATATCTTAAGTTTTTGGATGAATTTTTAGTTCAAAATTTCTAAAAGTGTAAGTTATTAGGTTAAAAAGCTATATATCAAAATTTAATGGTATTTAAATATTTAGTTTATGAGATATGAAGAAATTTATACATGGGTGTATGTAAACAAGAGTTTGAAGCTACTATTAGGATTTTGGCAATATATTAGGATCAATAATGAATTTGGAGTTGAAATTTCTACCTCCAGACTAAACAAGATATTATAATTGTGACAACCTTCAAGATAACATAATCTAGATGAAGATCTTCAAAAATAACATGTCCTTCATCAAATAGATGGTAAGATATAATATATTTGGTATTATGGCCTTTAAAAAGACTTCTGAATTTTGGTAATTTTATTAGAGATATTAACAATTTTTTGATAGTATTCCAAATATTTTATTTGAAAGAAATTACAAAGGCCTCAATAGCAATCAAATAACAAGGTGGTCTTCTTGCCTTTGTATAAAATACTATTAATGGTTGAGAGGACCTATCAACTATCTTTAAAGAGAACAAAGATCAAAGTATGTAGCAAATATAATTTGCCACGTTTTGGATTTCTTTAACATATGATAATCGCTCTCTATGGAACTTGTTTCTAGAAAGATGAAGGAGATAATGTTATCGACAAACATATTGATTCTAATATTTATCTATATGATTAAGTAGAAGTATGTAAAAATATATTTATTTCATAATATTTTTTAAAAAAAAATTCTAGAAGCTTCATAAGCACTGCTTTGACTTTACATATATTTGTAGTTGATTAGTACGTTAGAAACTTAGTCAACAAGTTAATCACATGTTGGTAGCTTAAAAAATAAGCTAACTATGTAGTGCATATATAAAAAACTTATATTGCAAGCTAAGATATATATATCTTGTAAAGTCAACACATTTTGGAGGTTCTATAGGACATTGCTACATAGTTCCTAATTAAGACTATATATGGAGGCAAGATTGAAGCCTTCTTTACTCTTATCAATTCCTTTCTAGTTCTTAGTCTTGTTTGAAGACTTTCTAGTCTTTTTGTCTTTGACAATAGCCATGCTAATTCAATAATATATCATCTTTGAATGATTTTTTAGTCTTTTTGAGTGACACAAGAGTATATTAAGGTTTTCTTTTTTTTAAGATTCATATCCTTCACACTTTGTTACTTCATGATTTTGCAAAAAAAATAAAAATAAAAATAAAAAAATCATATATATATATATATATATATATACACACACACACACACACATATATATATATATATATATATATATATATATATATACACACACACACACACATATATATATATATATATATATATATATATATAATCTTGAAAGTATTTTTTATATATTTTTATTTGTTTTTTTGTATTTACCATATAGTTACATAAAAATAGTGTATTTATTTATTTATGACAAGTTGTGAAAAAGATATGACTTTTTAATAATGTGACACATTTAAAGAATCATTTATTATTATATTATTTCAAGTCACTATTATATTTGATGATGCATAGTTAGTAATCAATACCTCCAAAGTGAGGTGTTTATTACTATTTTATGCTTATATTACAACATATTATACTTCTTCATATGTCTACATTGTAGCTTTTATATTTTTCTTGAGTACCACATCCTATTATTTGTTTATTTATTTTTATTGTTGCTTTTATGCACTTTTAGCAAAAAAAAACCCTATAACATGAATAGTATTTGTATAAATTGCATACTTGTTCACATCCTTTTTTAAAAAAAATAAAAAATAAAAAAAAACGAACGAACAATATATATATATATATATATATCTTTTACAATCATCACACAATGAACTTGTCATGAAGACAATATTTTTCTTTCATTTTATTTTGTTACAAACTTTCAATAGGAATAGAACAAGATGAAAAAGAAAAGGAAGAAAGAAAAAGATATATATATATATATATATATATATATTTTTTAGAAGATTGCTGGACATAGTAATGTTACCTTTTTTGAGCATCAAGCCTTTTTAAAATTAACACACTACTACCTCATAAGTTTGAGACAAATGACTCCAAGAAGAGTAATCAACCTAAGATCGACCTTCACGATATGCCATTACTCTGAGCAAGGTAATTTCTTTTTAATCCTAATCTGCATTTTGCGCCAAATATTGAGAGATAAAATCCTCATTGATCCATTAATACACTTAATCCCATGTAACGTGCAGGTGGCCATGTCACCCATGTTGCTTTTACTTTTTGATTTCCCTTCAGGACTGGCCGTGAGCAGCATACAGACTAACCGATGAATGAAAATTGCTAGATGTGTGTGCAGACAGAGCAGACCGCATAGTTCATCCATCAATATGGATGAACGCCCTTGTCTTCAGGGAAAAGTCTATGTTCGTGAGCTCCTTTCCCCTCAGGGCCAAGAGCAACTGTGGCTGGCTGGCTCCTCCCTCTTCGCGGAGCTTGAGTTTCTGGAGGAGCACATAAGGCCTTAAATTGAATCGTGGGTTGTGGAGGATAATGAATTTCATGTATTGGGTTGCGGGAGTTTGTGCCAGGACGCAAGGGTAGTAGAGATAGTGGAAGGCGAGGGAGCGGTGGAAGTTTTAAGCGCGGGGTGAGTTTTGGGGAGCAGGTGCGGAATGGCGAAGGGTTTTGGGGGAGAGGGAGCCGTTTGGTCGCGCGTTGTCGATGGTTAGGAAGTAATTTTGGACGTTTGGCAGGGTGTGCAGATGCTGTGTGAAGAGGAGAAGAGGAGGAGGAAGTGGAGAGGGTGGAGATTCATTTGAGGGAGTGATTGTTGGTTTGTGGGAGGATAGTCTGCTGGGTGGCGTTGAGTGGAACCGACACGATGACGATGAACAACGAGCGGAAGGTAATTGAGTTGGAGCAAGGATGGAGCTTCATGCAGATAGGGATTACGAAGCTAAAGAACCTGTTGGAGGGCGTACCCGAGCAGCAGTTCAGCTCCGAGGAATACATGTTACTTTATACGTATCCGACATCAATTTTGATTGCGTTGATGGTTTAGGTTTTTGAAATTGGGATGGTGGTGGAGGATCAGAGTGGGTTGGGGGTTCGCAGTTGTTGTGGTCTTCACGATGACGTCATTCAGTTTTGAGGTTTTGCGTTAAGTTTTTCGTTTGGATTCCTTAATGGCTGTTGTACAGAACAATTTACAATATGTGTACGCAGAAGCCTCCACAGGATTATTCTCAGCAACTATATGACGGATATAGAGTGTCCTTCGAGGAGTACATCAATTCAAAGGTGCGTATGGGGGGTATCTGTTAGTTCCTTTTTGGGAGGGGGGACAAGCGAAACCCTGCCCTGGAAGCGAGATAGCCTCATTCTTTTACGGCAAAAAACCTTGAGTGGGGTGCTGTGTCCATCGTCTTGCACTGGAATGATATTCTCGTGAATCCGTAAGAAGAGTTTATCGCTTTGGGTTCGGGAAAGATGCTCTAATCACGTACTGAACTTCTCAGTGAAGGGTCTTCTTAGGAGAACAAGAACTTCTGGTCATGTACTGATCGGAATGTACTCTGCATTCAGGTGTTGCCCGCACTTAGAGAAAAACACGAGGAGTTCATGCTCAAGGAGCTTGTGAAGAGATGGTATAATCACAAAATTATGGTTAGATGGCTGTCCCGGTTTTTTAATTACCTAGATCGGTACTTCATCGCCAGGCGGTCTCTTCCTGCATTGAGCGAAGTCGGTCTCATTTGTTTCCGTAACCTGGTATGTTAATCCTAATGACTGGCTTCCCATTTGTTAATTTCAAAAGTTTGTGGAAGTCAGCATTTTCCAGCAGTGTGGGGGAATTTCTTTTGCTTGTGACGTGAGCGACTGTTCCTTCTCTGCGTTTATAGACAAGTCGAAGCTTCGGTCTGCTGAGCGACCTTTCATTATGCAGGTTTATGCAGAGACGAAGATCAATGTGAAAGATGCGGTCGTAGCTCTGATTGATCGTGAGCGTGAAGGCGAGCAGATAGATCGGGCACTTCTGAAGAATGTTCTTGGTATCTTTGTTGAAATTGGAATGGGCAACATGGATGCATACGACACAGACTTTGAGCAATTCATGCTCGAAGATACTGCTGCTTACTACAGGAGGAAGGCCTCGTCTTGGATTCAAGAAGATTCATGTCCTGACTACATGCTCAAGGCCGAGGAATGCTTGAAAAGGGAGAAGGAAAGGGTTGGGCATTACTTGCATGCTAGTAGTGAGCAAAAATTGCTGGAGAAAGTTCAGCAAGAACTCCTTACGCAATACGAAACACAATTACTTGAGAAAGAGCATTCAGGCTGTCATACTCTGTTGAGGGATGATAAGGTTGATGATCTGTCAAGAATGTATCGGTTATTCTACAGAATTCCGAAGGGTTTGGAACCTGTGGCATCCATTTTTAAACAGGTATAGTGGCTTTGAGCTTTGGAGTTTAATGATCCTGGTTGTTATCATAGTTTGAGAGATAAATTTAGCTTTCAACGTCTTGTTGAGAAATTGATAGTTGTATATATTTTCCCTCTCATATATGAACTGGACAAAAGAGAGACAAGTGGTTTATTGTATTGAAGAAGTTGTCGACAAGCACTGGATGCTTGGACGCTTCAAAGTATATGGTGTAGTTTTCAGAGCTCGCTTGTTTCGTGTGGATGCTAGAAGTGATCACCTTGTTCTTGTTTATTTACAGCATGTCACAGAGGAAGGAACCGCCCTTGTCAAACAAGCTGAAGATGCAGTCAGTAATAAGAGGGTAAGTCTTGTCGGTTCTCTGCTGATCAAATTTGCAGCAGTTTACTGTACTTACCTTCTAATGTTTGTTCGATTTACCACCATGCCTTATATTAACTTTGTTCTGTTGGGTTCACTTAGGCTGAGAAGAAAGATACAGTTGGAGTACAAGAGCAGGTAATATCTTAAGAACTGGTTAGGTGGCTTATTCATGTATCACTTTTCTGGATTTAATTTCGTTGAATTTGTGACCACAGCTTATCCTGAGTATGTCGATTAACTGCGAGGGATTATTCCGCCACTTCTTGCGTCACTTTCTTTGAAAGACCTAGTTGTGGTTGAATTAGAAACTTGTAAGTCATCCTCTTTTATCTCATAGGTACTTAGCAGGATTCTTAGGCATCACTACTTGCTTGTCGCAGGTCTTTGTGCGAAAGGTGATTGAATTGCATGACAAGTATCTGCAGTATGTCAGCGAGTGTTTTGCGAATCATTCTCTTTTTCACAAGGTGAGTAACTGGTTTGCCGCCCTTGACTTTGGTTGCCTTATTTTGATGTTATGGAGGGTATTCCGTATTAACGGTGCCCTGCTTTCTGCTTGAATGCAGTCTGGGATGATTAGTGTAGTTCTTAGAAATGATTTTTGTGATAAAATCTAATAACTAAAGTGGCTTGCAGGCATTGAAAGAAGCCTTTGAAGTTTTCTGTAATAAGGGTGTTGCAGGGAGTACAAGTGCAGAGCTCCTGGCCACGTTTTGTGATAATTTATTGAAAAAGGGTGGAAGCGAAAAGCTAAGTGATGAAGCAATTGAGGACACACTTGAAAAGGTAATGTTTTCACATCACTTGTTACCTAAGAATGGACACTTTTTCGCAGCCATTTCGTTGTAGAGTGCAGTACGTGCTTGATATCTGCCTTCATGCAGTGACCTTCTTTAATTAAAGGGTAACTATGCTCCCCTGGCAACTTTTGATCAATTTCAATGGGATAGTGCAGGTAGTGAAGCTTCTTGCGTATATCAGTGACAAGGACCTGTTCGCAGAGTTTTACAGGTAATTTTGCCTTGGCACAGTTTCTGTGATTTGGCCCGACACCCCCTAAACTTTTGCCGTATAAAGATGAATTATCTACTCTTTATGTGCCTTTTTGTTCAGTTCGACACTTCTATACTCTTTTGAGGATTCGTCATGCTATTTAGGGAATATGATTCTTTTGACGTAATTATATTCCCTAAATATGCCTCATTCTTTCGAAAGAATTACATTTCCTAAATATTACAACGAAGGTTCAATGCATCTTGCAACGCACGTGGATTATATTCTGTAATTGGTAGATGTTATATTTTTGCCAATGCAGGCGTGCCTGCTCCAGACGATGTCCATTGTGTTAGACTTACGTTGTTACGTACATTAGCGGAACAGGTTCCCTGACGTAGTCTTATGTTGGTTTAGGAAAAAGCTAGCTCGAAGGTTGCTTTTCGACAAAAGCGCTAACGACGATCATGAGCGTAGCATCTTGACCAAGTTGAAACAGCAGTGTGGAGGACAGTTCACTTCTAAGATGGAGGGCATGGTAACTTCTTTAATGCCCTCAGACTATCCTTGTTTCAGTTGGTTAGCTAAATTCTCAGATGAAAATCTTTACCTAAGTGAGTTTGCTACAATTTAAATTTTGTAGAAAACACCTTACAAACCTGGCATAATTTGAGTCCGGCGTTGCACACATTTGTAGGTGACAGATCTGACCCTTGCACGCGAGAATCAATCGAACTTTGAGGACTATTTGTCGGATAATACCAAGTCCAATCCAGGCATCGATTTGACAGTGACAGTACTTACAACTGGATTTTGGCCCAGTTATAAGTCTTCAGATCTGGCCTTACCGGCAGAGATGGTCAGCATTCATATTAGCCAGTCTACTTTTTCTCTATTCGGAGTTTGTTTTTGTCATCATAATTGTCGACTCTTATTTCTATTACATTTTTACTATAATCCTCATTTTCCTAACTTTATTATATTTCAAACACACAGGTTAAATGTGTTGAAGTATTCAAGGAGTTTTACCAAACGAAAACGAAGCATCGGAAATTGACTTGGATTTACTCCCTGGGAACATGTAACATAACTGGAAAGTTTGATGCCAAGCCTATTGAGCTTATTGTAACAACATATCAGGTACCTTTATCAAGCCCTCAGAGACACGACATGGGTTCCTGACTGTCCATGTTTGACTGTATAAAGGTCGTTCTTGAAGTGCGCATGTGCTTCATTCTCTAGTATTGAAATATCGACTAAGTCTTTATCCTTGTTGAAATCTGTCAGCTTTGGCACACCTCCACTTTCGTGATCCGCAGCTTTGTTCACTATTAACGAGACTCTTGTAATTACAGGCCGCAGTGCTATTGCTTTTTAATGCCGAGGATAGGCTGAGCTACAATGATATCAAGAACCAGCTGAATCTTACTGATGAGGATATAGTTAGACTGTTGCACTCATTGTCATGTGCGAAGTACAAGATTCTTAACAAAGACCCCAATACTAAGGCCGTCGGACAAAATGACATCTTTGAGTTTAATACTAAGTTCACGGACAAGATGAGACGGATAAAGGTACATCCATGAGCGAACTTTTCATGGAATATGATATGGATTACTGTAGGGAATTGTAATATGTGGAAAACACTTTTTTTTTTTTTTTTTTTTTTTTTCCCATGGAAGATTTAATACGTTGCATGATTCATAGATTCCTCTGCCGCCAATGGATGAGAAGAAGAAGGTGATAGAGGATGTGGACAAGGACAGGCGATACGCAATCGATGCATCTATTGTCCGGATCATGAAAAGCCGTAAAATGCTTCCTCATCAGCAACTGGTACTGGAATGTGTTGAGCAGCTCGGGCGGATGTTCAAGGTACGCTTCAAATGTTTTTTTCATACCTTATGATTAGAACATTTCAATGAGGATCTCGTGTAAGTCTGGCTATTTTCTTCATGGATCAGACTGTTATGGAGTTTGTCATGAATGCAAATGCATATTTATAATATGGGTTATGGTGGACTTCGTTGTTCTGCAGCCTGATTTCAAGGTGATCAAGAAGCGAGTTGAGGACCTTATCGCTCGTGATTATTTAGAGCGAGACAAAGACAACCCTAATATGTTCAAATATGTCGCGTAATGAAGCAGACAGGTTTAAATCCAAGTTTACTTGAAGGAGTCTGATTAGGTTTGAACAATACGACTGGGGCGGGGTTTTTAGATATGGGAATATCATGATGAACCGATTTAAGGAATGGCTACAGGCGTTTGTCACATCTAACTTCTACGTTGGTTAAATTTTGTGGGGTTATCTTGGCTCATAAGGTATAAGTCAGTTGTATAGGCTTTTTAGATATTGCCTGATTTGTTACATCATATAGTAGGGGTTATGTGCGGGTTTGATTTGCCATTGTCTTTTTATTAGTTGTAGAACGTTCAATTAATACCTGCCACGATGGGTGGCGAACTGAAGAGGACATACATGAAAGCCATACAACACAGCACACGCATCTGTATATTTCTCTCAGTGCTGTGTATTCGTTGGCATTACAATCACTTTCGACAGTAGTATTGAACATGCATTTCTTCTTGTGCCTCAAATAGGGTTTGATGTGGAAAGCGGGATTCAAACATTTAGCGATCTGTTTATTTCAAACTTCAAATGTTCACAAAGCCCGCAACTATCCGAACACTAAAAAAATGGATTACTTGGAGCTTTTTTCAGAAATTTGTACGATTATATTTTAGACTTTAATTACTATATTAGTTTCCTTCTTTTTCTAAAAATCCGGAGGATATAGTCTAATTTTTTCAGCAAATTATCTTGCAATTTTGTCACGAATGAAAAGGTTGGAGGGTTGCTTGTACAACAGGGCCGAACAGCCGTAAGCTAACCTGTGAATGAGAGAAACGAAGGATCATCACCTTATTTCGAAAACTGCAGGTCGACTGACCCTTGAATTTTACATATGATATTCGTGATCATGAATAATCGGTAACACAAAAAAGTAAAAATTTAAAAATTAAAAATCATGGTCTCAACTGGGCCTTCATAGTTTGATTGTAGTAGGACTTCTATTCCAACATTGCACTCTGTCCCTTTGATGGAACACACCACAAAATAGTTTTTCAGTTCAGGCCAATGTAATGTTTTAAGGTGAATTTTTTTCCGTGATAATTTCATCCCCATTAAAAACAGCATTTTCCGCTTCATCGTTTTCTCGGCACTTTGGGAGTTCCATCTTCATTGTTTGCCTTTTTACAGTTTGATGCTCCGGTATGTTGCCCCAATCAAGGAAGTGGTGTTTGGTTAGATGTGTTTTAGCTTTTAAATTTTGAAGTTGGAATAAACAATGTGGAGTTAAACAAATATGTTGTGAGAAATACAAACAGCTATTAGTAGTCCATTCAATAATATTGGAAGAAGTAGGTATTTAAAAAAAATAAGGTTGAAAGGTGGAGTAGGTGTAAGTTCACAAATAAGAAACATCTATTATCAAGTTGGTTCAATGCAAGGAGAAGTTTTCATAGATTTTTAATTGAATCCATGAGTGATATCTTGAACATATCTCCTAAAAGTTTTTTATTGTTCAATTCATTTTTAATATTATATGAGGTTTTTTGGTTTGTAAAGATTGCATAGAGTACAAAAAAACATTGCCTTTTCTATACTTTATATGGAGTCAACAATAATTGCATTTATCAAAACCTTTTAGTAAAGATATCTTGTGTTGTTCTTGCCGCAAAATATTATTATATTTTAAAAGATAATAGTATATGCAAAATTATTATCAAATAGAATATAGTTCTCCTATTAGAATAATAAGTAATTTTGCAATTTATTTTCTAAAATATTGCCACATCAAATAGATTTGTTAGAAAATTTTCTTTTTACCTTACATATTTATTTAATAAATTGGTTAAATTGAATGAATAAGTTTGCTATCTATAATAAATAAAAATTATAATTATAATTATATAATCTATTTAGATTTATTCGTAATTAAAAAAATTGGTAAAAAATACTATTAATTAAATTTAAGTATGGTTATTAAACATTAAAGTAGAATATAGTCTTGTCACTTCTAACAAAACTAGGAAAAATAAATGAATAAATAAATTTCTTTCAACTAACATTCTTCTCACAAAAATACAATCGTTTATAAAAAATCTTATTATTTTAATCTAATACTTTCAATTTAATCTCATTACTTTTGTTAGTTATGTTGCATCATTTACATATGTATACATATATATGTTTGTTGAGATTTGTTACAAATCTTTTCACAAGCCAAAGATATCTTAATAATAATTATTGTTTCAGAATCTGCTATAGAAATATGAGAATTTAAATATCTATATATATTACATGTAAAAAATAACTTGTCAGTATCTAGTTATTATTTAAAGCTATAAGGTAATTTTAGTAGTTTCAAAATTCTAAGTTAAATTTGATTATTTTTTATATTTTTTGTAAGCTTTTTGGACTACCTACAACAAATTTTAGATTATTCTTTTTATGTAAATGTTACTGATTCAGACAATGCCATGAAGTTTCAAAAACATCTTTGGAACCTTTTCAAACATTTTCCAGCCTTCTAGATATTCTCTAAAGTATTTTGTATTCTTTCAAAAAGCCTCTACTATCTTGTAAAAATATAGATGTATTTCTAGATACTTTTATAAATTTTTATATGGCTTTAGAGTTGTTTAAAATCTGTTATAACTTTTGAAATAGGAGTTTAGAAAGATAACTAAAAAAAAGTATAAAATTGAAAGTCAAAAGAAACCTCACCTATTACCATTTGAGGCAATAGGGTAATTTATATAATTACATTGTTCCTAGTCCTTATAATTATGTTTGTTCTCAATCTACTCTCTAGCCTTTGATTCTTGCATTTTATTGTTATTTATTATTATTATTATTGTTGTTGTTGTTATTATTATTTTACATTACTATTTCATTCATGTTATAAATTAAAAATATAATATTCTATGGTTTCTATAAGGACAAGTAATCGTTTTAATTAATTTCAAAAGGTCTTTGATCAAAATGTAGTGATACATGTGTTGTTTATTCCACCATTGTTCAAACAATTGGGCAGGAAAAGTCAATCTCATAAATGTAAAAAATAATAATCAAAATACCCACTATGTAATGAGAAAACATTAAAATTGATTAGTAAGTGTTGACACCTTTTAACAATAAAAAAGAAACAAAAACTTTTACATATGCAAGAATCAATGCATGTAATGCGGTTGCTAATCAGTAGAATCCAAGTGAATATGTGGATACAAAAGTGTACCTTGACATAAGAAATTGTTGTGAACCATGTGTTCTTTAAACTAACGATATAAAATATTTACCAAATATGCACAAAGTTGTCAGAGGGTAGCGATTGATACCCGGAAGCGGCAGCGGTGGGAGGGTATGAGCCACCCAATGCGTGAGATGGCAAAGATGTGGACGCCGCCGTCCCACCCAACAACGAAAAACGGTGGCAAAACGTGGTTCATTCAGTTTGGGATCCTCATCCTCAGTCGGGCCAATTTTGGACGGAGTGCGAGTTTTCGTCCGTCGCGAAGGTGGTATTCGTTCCCAAACCTCCGTCGAGAACTACGAAAGTTTCGTTATCAGTCCTCGGACGGATATAGGGGAGAATCGTCGCCGTGCAGACGGGGATCTGACGAACGAGGACGTTTCTGTGGAGGATTCGAGGTCTGGTCGTCAGCGATCGTTATGGGGTTCGTTCCGAAATGCAGATTTCGTCGTGCGTCAAGGCCAGGGAAGAACTTACAGGCTGTGTGCCGAGGAGTCTGTGTTATTGTGGCCCTTTTGCAACGCTCCTTTGTCGTGCTACTTTGTTTGCAGGACTGCAAGGAGGATGATTATCAGCTGAAGGTGATGACGCCCTCCTGTGCCCCATTTGTGTCATTCTCGCACTGTGTTTGGTCCTGGGCAGGTTTACAATGGGATGAGTACGTTTCTAAGAATGTTTGAGTGTGGGTGTTGCGTGTTTGGGTGCGAATTAGAGGGGATGGGATTAAGCTGTCCTTCGCCGGAGAATGAGCTTGAGAGATGAGTGTTGCGCAGCAGCAGGCTTTTCACACACCGCCGTTGAGTTTTTTGACGGTCTACCTGTGATTTTTTGGTAATTTGCAAGAGTCTTTTTTTGGTTTTTGTTGCTCTCTAGTGGAACAGATAGTTTACACTGAGTGCAGCGAATTTGGGGTTACGAAGACTGGGTCAATGTGTTCTGAAGCTACTACTGGGTAAATTCGATTGGGGATTGAGTGAAATGGTCCATTAAATTTGGGGTCCTCAAAACCCATTGGTTGCCACGAGGAAGCAAGAATCCACTTCCCACATCGTGTTTGTTGCCAGAGCCAGGGAATGGAAGGTTTTAACCACGCCTTATTTTTCCATATATCTGGCACATTTTGTTTTGAGTTTGCGAATGAAAGGAAAACTTTCTTTATCAGAATATAGGACGAGCTTTTGGGAAGTTGGGAAGTGAATAATGGGTTAGAATATTGACTCTTTGGAGCTAATGAAATAATGACATAGCCTTGGTTGTCTGTTGTATATTTAGCATGCATTGAACCATCCCTCATCGTGAAGCCGCATCGTTCTGCTGCTAGGAACAATGTCATTGTTTATATTGTATACAGTACACATGCATGAGCATTCTGGAATTGTAATGGAATTAAGCAAGAAAATTTAGCAACAGTGTTCTCATTGGCCTTACGGTCTTTCCAGATTTCGCAGTATGCAGCTGTGCATAAAGCTATGCTAAGCTTCTGCGGTGCGTGCCCAAAGTTCCAGACTAAGTTCATGGGTGCAATGAAGCTTCAATGGGAAGCAGGAGACTATATTTCGTGGGAGAGCCGGACGAGGTAAAGTTCGACGGATGGGGTGCTGGGAGGAACATCGTTGCTCACGTTTGCTTGTAACTCTTGAGGAAAATTGGAAGGCAATGCATAGGCTTATGATGCATCCTAAATGGTCTAGTCGGTAGCGAGAAAGGTAGTGAAAATCGAGGAAGTGGCCGCACTGCTGATCAGGTTTCAAAATAAGGAGCCTCGAACATCCCTTTGACAGACCGATATGAAGTGGACCTGTGCCCCGCTTTCCTGCATTCCACACGGAGTGCTGTCCACTTCAGCAGTTGCATCGCTGCCTTGCATAATATCATCCACAACTCAGAAGCTGGAAACAGGTGTTTCATATTGGACTGGTGGTTTCGCAGGCACTGGAAGGAATGGAGTACGCAATGTAATCAAGCTGAGTTGTATAGTGCTTTCCCGTTTTAGGGCACTTAACCAGTAGATTTTCAAAGGAAGTCTTAGAAGCTGTGCGATCAGTATAACTTGCGTATACACTAGAAAGGGCTACTCGTCTCAAGTTTAGCCCCATTGATCCACATCTTTTAGATTGAAACATGATCTTGTTTATTAGTTTTAAAGGTCATGGATCAAGGTTTTAGATTCTCTGGCGTCAGATTTGGGAAAGACTGAGCGGCTAAGCTTCTTCAGGATGTACCTGGAAGCTTTTGGTCTCTGAGATGTTGTGTGTGCGCCTATTCCAGTTTGTAGTCTTCTATTACCATCGGGTGAAATTTAGCAGGACTGTACAGTGCCCTGCCTATTCTATTGTTCGAAGAGGACTTAGGTTGTGGAGGAAAGCCCGGCAAACTCAAACGCAATTTATGAATGAGCCTTTTCCTCTGCTCGGTCCTTCTGTTTGTGCAGATAATATCGCTTGGCATGATTACGGAGAATGTCGTAACTGTTTTGGGAGAAAGGTTGGGCGCGAAATCTGGAGGTTTTAAGTGCTATTGATGTTTATTTGTTGTAAACACCTGTCGCAGTCAGGTGAGGATGGAGGAGTTAATTCTACCAATATGTTAGGGAAGGTTTCAATTGCAGTCAATACGAAGTTAATGATTCTCTCTGACTGATTGTTAGCTTGGTGGACATAGAGCTCTTTTAAACTAGGTTTCCACATCTCGGCCCACTAAAAGAACAGTTGCTAACTAGCTCCATGTTTTCAATTTCTTTAGTGAAGTGTAGCCTACCTCTTTAAAATAACAGAGATGTCTAGGAGCTTATTGTGTAGTGGTTCAGGATTTTGATTGCTTTGGTGTGTTGGAGACGTATTTGTAGAGCTGTATTAGCTGTGGTTTGAATTTTGATGTTGTCCCTCTTTTGTTTGTGCAGGTTTTATGAGTGCAGCGAATGAGTGAAAATGGTGAAGTACACTCGTATGGAGGAGAACAAACGTGTCTACAACGAAGAGTATGACACGGATGAGTACGAAACTTTGACATGTGAATGTCACCACCTTGCAAGGGCTAAAGAACTTAATGGTTCTCGACGAAAGCCTTTTTTCTGCATATATTGCAAAACAGTTTACAAAGACAAAAACAAATTAAATCTTCACAGGCTCGAAGGCTGCGTTGCTGTAAATGGTGATGGCAAGAAGACCACCCTCAAGATTTATCCTGTGTTTGGAAAAGGCCAAAGGGGTGAAATCGAGGACATCCTCATCAAACATGGTCATATGAATCCACGGAAGAAACCTTCAAGGGCTAAGAGGAAAAAGTCCGTCACAGCCCTAAAGGAATCGGATACGTATATGGAAGTAGGAATGGCAGTGCAGGCAGCACATGAAGAGCAGAATCCACTTCGGCCTCAGAAACTGAAAGTGCGGGGTACGCTCACTTCTCGTGAGGCCAGTAAGAAACATATAAATTCGAGAGATTGTGAAATGCAGATTTCTTATGCACACCACGAGCAAGTGGTGAGCAATCCCAACAGCCATGACTCTTTAGTTGGTGGGCAAGGAGAGATGCAGGTGCAGATGCAGTTGACAAGGGAACAGGTAGAAGCCCAAGCGCGGGAAGTTGCTAACTATATGCTTTCAGATGCTTCCATGGTTTCCTGCCCCGAGTCGGTCCCATGTCCCGGTCTTTGGCACTTGATGCAATTCCAGTTGCTACCAAGTGACTTTCCTGACGTGAAGGATGACTCCTTCCTTCAGGCTTTTACTGACTTTGTGGATAAGGGATTGATTGATCTCGCTTTACCGAAGTCATATGGAACGTGGTACATGGAGAGAGAGGTATGTGCAGGGGTCAATCATCATTAATGCCGTTTCATGATTACAGATGTTGGTTGAATATCAGTGCTTCACCTTCTCTTTAGTCCTAGTTTGTAGGCATGGCTTTCTAAGTACACGTGCCTTTTTCAGACTGATGCAAGTGAAGAGGAGAAAAGTGCAGTGAAACTTACAATTAGCCGATTCAAGTTAGTTGGAGGTCGCCCTGATTTACATGCACGTCACAAAGAGAATTCGGCTCTGCAAGCGTTCTTGCAAAATCAGAAGGAATGGTTTCACTATGAATTGCAGAAGAAAGCAGCTGAGAAAGAACTCTGTGTGCGGAGGGAGAGGTACATCAAGGATAGACTCAGTGACTACGACGCTAGGGAGCATGATCGTCGGGAATTGGCCATCTGGCGTTGGTCTCCTCTTCTGCATCTTTTGAAGTCCGATGTCATCGAAGGTGTTCCTCGCAGACCTTGGTATCATTCGGATGCGGAGCTAAAGAAAATTGCGCATGCAATACTGACGAATCGGAACCGAATTGTCAGCGATCCTCCTCACTGTCCTTTAATAGTACGCATGTTCAAGATCGTTTCTCTCTATTGTTATGGTAAAGTCAGCACCCTAGCTGATCCTGTAACGGGACTTTTGCGGGAGACGATGCTAAATTACTCAACCAATAGAAGTGCTGCTCCTGTGCTTCAAATGTCAGCTCAAGCTGTGCTCAACGATGGGTGCTTCCTGTTCGCAAACTTACCTCCTTATTCAGAGGCACAAGTAGAAATACTCGAGGATGTAAACGTCCTTCTTCATGGAATGGCAATGGAGCGGGAAGTCGTTGTGCAGAAAGTTCAAGGCTTTCTTAGAACCGTCCGTCAACGCGCAGCTGGAGATATGGCTACGTTGCATCCAAACGAGTTTCGTGTGCTTTGGTGTGGCGGTGATGCAAGTACCATAGCGGACGCATTGAAGACGTTCATGCTTTGTCTCAAATCCCGAGAAGACTTGGACATGGGATGGGTGCCATTCCCGTCAGGTACCTCTGTCCTTTATCATGTTTGTCCTTCTCATCTAATTCAATTCCACCTTTTGAACGTTTCCTGTTTTTGTGAACCTAAATAACAGCTCTTCCTGTTTCAACCTTGAATGGAAATCTCATCTTTCAAGCCCGTTTTTTAACTGATGCAGGGCACCCCGACTATGATTCTGTTGCAGTTATGCAAGCAAGAGAGGCCGTCTTGAAAGCAGTTCATAAATTGCACGAGCAGCGCATGCTGTCTGACAAAACCCGATTGTTGTCTGCTTCAGCCCGCTTACAGGCATTTGATATCATCACTCGCAACAAGATTCATGGATCTCTAGAGACTAGCGTTGTGAAGCCTCCAAGAAAGACCACAGACTACAGGGGAAATGGTTCACCAGGAAAGGAAGACTCAGAAGATGAAAGTAAGTTGGAGAGGCATTCAAGTTTTTCTACAACCAATGGTTCGGCTGACATAGAACTAGACTCTCGATCATCTCACGAATTGAAGGATACGGGCATTGACGTTGGAAAGCCACACCGTAGACACGAGCTGCTCAACGAGCCACCTCGTAAACCTTGCAACACGTCTCCAGACCTCAACCTCAACCTTGATTCGAATGATTCTTATGATCCTGCCTCTCCCGTCATGAAATGTGACTCGACCTTTACAGCACACATGGCTGACTTTCATGTTCCCAAACCCAATTCTCCACCAAAAATGGTCTCTGTTCTTGGTGTTGAGGTTCGCGCCTCGGATCCTGACGCTGATCGCTGTGTTCCTCGAGTTTCAAGTACTCCTCTTTTCCTTTATCACTTTTATGGCCCTAGTTATTATGTCCATACTCTTAGTACAAGTATTTTCAGTCCTGCTCCTCTACAACTATACATACAGTGTTCATGTCGTGTCTTCGCCCTACTGTACTCGGCCGTCTGAAAGATCTTTTGGTGCAGAAACCTCAGCGTCGGTCTCAGCATCGGCCGAACGGTCTCTGGAGAATTATTCCCGTCGGGTTCCCCACTTGTTCAACAGTCCGTCGTCATTCTCATCATCAACTGCAAGCCTTCGCAGCAACACTCGAAAGGATTCGGATGAGGAGCACTGACACTGCGACAGCAGCTGTGTGGTGGTCATTGCTCATCTTTCTATCATCACATTTCAGGTTTCGCTTGGTTCTACATTATGTGAGCTGTAGTACATGTATGTTTATTTCTAGTTGATCAAGCACTTGGGTGAAGACGTAGACTTCTATGTAGGTAGCTTTTTGTTTTGGGGTGTTTTATTTTTCCTGCTTTGACTTAGAGTCGTGTTGCAAATCATACGATATGTGAAAGTATGTTCATTCTCAACAAGTAGTATTTCTTTGTTGAAAGCGTAGAGTGGGGATGCTGAGTAGTTTGATATTTAATTTTCTTGGCAACCGCTTGTATGGCATCGTGAAATGGTGATATGGGGAACTGCTGGATGGATTTTCTCAATTCTGGTTCATCAAATCAATATAAGTTATTATAATATTCAATTGAACTGTATCTGATTACAAAATTCGGGTGTTTCGGTAACAACATCCTGACATGGAATGACTTTTGGGAAAACAAACAAACAAACAAACAAACAAGATAAAATAAAATGGACAAGAATTGTTTGCAAGAATGCATGAGCTGCAAATAGTTCATCAGAATTATTCATCCTGCACTCATTGAAAGGGTAGACTGTCCACAAATGGAATCTGGAAGACGAATAGGCTTGACATCGCGCCTGACCGAAGGACAGAACTGTTCAACTATTCTGTCTTGTAAACCGGATTGCACAATCCTACGGATCCACCTAGCTCATTAACCACAATGCAGAACTCTGCCGTTGAGGTTCTGTAAAAGCCGAACTAGTCTTTGGAAAGAAGCACTAGAAATCGGATGTGTGCTCTTGGAGATGTTTTGTTCTTCTACCTCCCTAGAGCACACAATTTGTTGCGTCCACGGAACCCTGACAGTATGGCTGGCAGCACACATGTCCTGCTCGATGTATCATAATCTTGATGTTGAATTGGAATCTATCCTGTATTCTGGATGCCTGCAGCAATACCCTTCATTGTAAGGATCATGGTATCCTCTAGTCCAGGCGCGAACTCGGTCGTTGGGTTTAGCGTCACCAGTTCCGCGGCAGGCTTCGTGGGCTTGGGAGAATCAGGCTGTGTCAGTTGGCTATGCTGCTCTCGCATCTTCTTGAGCGTGAAGGCTTGTTGCACATTGAGAGCAGTGATGTAAGGTTCTCGAAGTCGTAAACGCTGCTTCAGAGTCGGATTACCTTGGAGAATTTCCGTATGTCTTGCAACCTGCAGTGCTCAGAAAACGTGTATTATTAAGAATATATGCAAGATCTCGCACTCTAGACACCGATAATGTTGAAAACTTAAAGACGATGCACATACTGAATACAAGCGTCACCTTTAGAAGATGCTCTTTGGTCTCGTTATATTTTTGCCGCAGCTCAATACCCAAAGATTTCAGCTCGTCGGCGACGAGCAAATCATCGTACAACTGGGCAATTCGAGGGTCACCTTTTGCGAACACCATCTCCATTAAGTCGATCGTCACTCGGAAGAAAGGCCATTGGTCGTACATCCGGTAAAGAGTGTTGAAATTGCTGGGATTGTCTTCCAATGCCCTCTTCAAAGCAGCACCAAGTCCAAGCCAAACGGGTAAATGGAACCGTGTTTGCGTCCAAGCGAAGATCCATGGGATGGCTCGCAGGGATTCAATACCGCCACTGGGTTTGCGTCTCGATGGACGACTGCCGATATTCATGCGCCCATACTCTAACTCCGGCGTGGCCTGTGGGATTTGAATCAAAAACACAAGCAATTGGATCATGAATTCTATGAATCTGGTTCAAATCAACCCACTCGAACACCATGAACCCGCATCATAGGAATCATTCAAAAAAGGAAGCGCTTACCATTCGGAAGTACTCCACAAATCTGGGATTTTTGAAGACAACGGAGCGATACTCGTCGGTGGCAACCACTGCCATGGAGTCCATGAGGTCTCTCCACTCAGGCTTTGGAGCAATGGGAGGGTGCATTCCGTGTTCAAGTGTCGCGGCAGTGAAACGCTGCAATGTCCTGAAGCACAGGTGCTCCTCTCCGAACGACTGCTCAATAACTTCTCCTTGAATGGTGACCCGCAAAGATCCATTGATAGTGTCTGGAGGCTGAGACAAAATAGCAAGATGCGTCGGACCTCCACCCCTGCCAACGGTGCCTCCGCGACCATGGAACATTGTAAGACGGACTCCATAATGCTTTGCAACTTTCAAAAGATTCTCCTGTGCTTTGAACATTTGCCATGCTGCTGACAAACGACCCGCATCCTTGCCTGAGTCGGAGTATCCGATCATGACCTCTTGCTTGCCGTTGATGCGATTTAGATACCAGTCAATTGAGAAGAGGCGTGAAAGCGAGGCGGGGGCTGATTCCAAGTCAGCAAGTTTCTCAAACAAAGGCACCACACGCAGTGGAGTCGGGATACGGCACTCGCGCTGCAAGAGCTCAACTGCCAAGACATCTGATGGAGCAGTTGCCATAGAGATGACATAAGCGCCGAAGCAATCTGCTGGCAACTCAGCAACGACTCTGAAAGTGTCCAGGACATCCTTCACTTCCTCTGATGTCGGCATACCGGGTCCAAACAAAGGCCTCTTCCCCCGAAGCTCAGACAGAAGCCAGTCCTACATCATGCACTTCTTCAGTGAACAGGTGAAATTGAGAAATAAAACTCACGCTATCTCTCATCTCCAGAATGCTGGTTTTCACAAACAGTAGCATTTGATGGGTTCTGTTATAAACCTGACGCTGCTCCTCCGACCAGTCGCGATAAGATCCAATGCCCAGATAGTTAGTAATGGTATCCATCACATCAGTATGGCGATCAGATTCTTGCCGAATATCCAGCCGCACCAAGCTCAACCCGAAGCACGAAACACGGCGCATGAAATCCAGAAGACTTCCGTCGGCTATGGGTTTGTCTCCAGTTTCGCACAGTGACCGATAACACAGCTCCAAAGGCTCAAGAATCTGTATCAACAAAAAGGGAAAATTAACTTTGTCAACAATCACCCATGACTAGCAATTGATCATAATACAAGTGTGTGTGTGTATGTGTGTGTGTGTGTATATATATATATATATATATATATATATACGCAAGACGCAGAAAGGCAACTTAAACAATAGGCATGCAACCAACCTGCGATTTTTCGGTGAAAGTGTTGTCCCGATTGACGTCAGATTTGCCGTTGGCTAGCAGCTGACGCATCCACTCCCGGGTGTTGTACAGCTTGTCACGCATGTCTCCCAAAAGGACTCGGAAAGGCTCGCTGGGTGGAATTTGTTTCCAGAACTCTGAAGTCAACATCCAGTCAAATGATCAACACTTCGATGGACTCCACAATATGGTGCCATACACAAAACTTCAGCACAGGTCAACTCCCTCTAGTTTAAAGCGGAAGTACACAGTATGCAGCACATCAGAAAAACCAACGCTTCACGACCAGAAGCATGGAGTTTACCAATGTAATGTTTCGATTCCTTCTTAGGTTGCGCCTCCAAAACCGCCACTCTCTGTCTTAGCTCGTCACTACAGCGCCACATAGACAGCTGGATCAAAGCCCAGGCAGGACTTATCATTAACACAAGCATTAAAATATCCAAACTGGAGTTGAGAACTGGAAGGGTAAGCAAGCAAGAAGGGTTGCATCAATGAGGACTAGTTCCATTCTGCTGAAGCCAATTGAATCTCTTCTCAAGCATACCTCGAACATAAGATCCTCAATTTGGGAGTAGTAAAGATTGGCTGCCATCAGTCGAGCCAACAGACACACGTCTCTTGTCATGTCGGGAGTGACGCGCGGGTTGCCTGATTCCAGATGGTTTCATTGATGATACAACATAGTCGCATCAGTGAAGTTCTATGGACTAGGCTGAAAGAAACTCAACAACAACAACAACAACAACAACCACAACAACTACTACAGTAACAACAAAGCGGAAAATGCTGAAGTGGCAGGTGTAAATGTTACCATCGCGATCACCACCCATCCAGGAGGAAAACTGGATGAGTGGCACATTATGTGGCAAACGCTTGTTCACACCGATAGCCTTCAAGGCAGTATCAACACGCCGTAAGAACTTGGGTAATCCATTCCAGATAGTCTCGTGGAAGTAACTCATGCCTGCACGCATCTCATCCTGGGGTGTTGGCTGTGACCGTCGGATCTCGTCAGTACGAAATGCAGCTTGAATCTGTACAAAGTCGGTAATAATATTAACAATCGTGGTACTAAAATTTTAAACCACCACAACCATTAATCCGCCGATTTAATGAACAACAATGCCTCAGAAGGATGGGCAAAAATTTCAGGAAAGTATTTCGCCGAGTCGTGAGACAACATCGAACCTCTCTTTGTAGAGCTTCGTCTAGTTCCTGCTTCTCCTCCGCTGTGATATCTTTCTGGTACATTTGTGACAGGCAATTTCGAATCCTACCAATGCAAATCCACGGGATCCTTATCAGGCGAGGCAGAATTCAAGCAATTATTTTGAGTGTTCTTGAAGAGCTGCAAAGAGGACAAATCTAGAGTACGTAAATTCAAATGATCGGCGATTTCAAGTAGAAATTCTCACCGAGAATGCTTCTGAAGCAGAGATCTACGAACTGATTGGGTTGGATGCGCCGTGAAGACCAAATCGACAGTCTGATTCTTGAGGGCCTCAAAAATCTCTTCCGGGGATTTTTTCAGCTTCTTCACCAACCTTTGAAACGTCTGGTCCAAATCGGACTCCGTCAATGCACTATTCTCATCGCCAATGTTTCCCTTCTTGTTAGCCGGACGACGATGGGCAATCTGCACCTCCTCCGCCAGGTTCTCAAGGTTAAGCATATGCGAGAAAGAACTGGCCACCACGATTGAATCACCAGCATCTAGATTATTCAGCAACGATGATAGTTGTTGAAGTTTCTCCTCGTTCCTACTGTCGGCGCAAAACGCTCCCGCCAATTCGTAGCATTCTAGTACCTGTAGTGAGTAAGATACCAAGCTAATCAAACGCGATTTTCGAAGAGGGAAGGTGGGAGAAAATGAAATTTAGACCTTGCTCACGGCACAGGCTTCCGCATGCGAAGCTTCAAAAAAGTTATACATGTCTAAACTCAGAAATTCCCCACGCTCTCCGATCAGGCATTTCTCTACTCTCTTCACAGTTCGTTTCCAGCTAGAAACACGACCATAGACAGCTGTATTGAGCAAAGCTGAACATCGTAAGTATCCACAAGAGCACGGAGCCCCAGCATAACACAGTTTTCACTTCTGGCAGCGGCAGCAGTGGAGAAAACAACTTACTGTATCTTTCATCTCTTTGCCGTGCAGATTTTCCAAGATGGCCAGGGACCGATCGACCAACTTGGCGCCGTAATCAACTAGCATGTCATCTTCTGACACCTTTTTCGGCACCAGCAGCCTCATGGACGCGTCGATAGACTTAATTTTCTGTAAGAACGCCATGTTGGGAAATAGACTGAATCCAAGGACTCTCTCACTCCTCCAACTCCTACAATGCAACCAAACATTCACCTCCCGCCTCCCGTCTACTCCCTTTGTCTTCCCTGCTTCAAGCCTTCCAGGGTCTTCACCAACCTCTCCTTGTCCCCTTCTCCCAGCGCCTACCTAACCCTCGTGAACGAATCAGCTACCGCAAACACCAGTTCACATCAACACCCATCTCCCACTGCAAAAAAAAAAAAAAAAAAAAAAAAAAAGTATAAAGAGTGCCGAATCAATCGCCAAGTCCCCAGACTTCTGAACCCCAATTTTCCAGATTCTGCTGCTGGCCACCACCACTCTAAACACAATCTGAACGATTCCTGTGAAACACCCAACTGTCAGCCTGGTGGCATACTTTCAACTAAGGTAATGCAGTGTAGTGTAATGTAATTCTTCCTCGGCCAGCGTGCATCACGAGGAAACAATGGAGGCCAAGGCACACGATTGCATTGTTCGGAGAGATGAAGTTTTCTGTCAGTCTGTGCGATGGTGGCGCTTTCAAAGCAGCCACAGAACAACAAATGGCGAGCGACGCTTGCTGCTGGACCCACCCCACCCTGGAGATGGTACCACACTCCCCTGCTTCCTTTTGTCCCATAATCTTTGCTTCCACTGCCTTCTGTCACAATGCAAGTACTCATTTCTCTACAATTCCGATGAGCAGTTGCACACACAGCCTCAGTGTGGTCTAAACCCATGTGATGAATTCATAGGTTCAAAGACCAAACTATGGGTTGCTGTTCGAAGTAAAATGTTTGTAGTGTAATGCTGCCTCTCAAGCTGACAACAGTTGCCACAACGTTGACACTGCAATTGATCACTTACTCTTCTTCTTTTTTTGTGTCCAGTGGTAGAGAAAGAGTAGTGAAGTGGAACCTCATCAGTAGTACTAATACTGTGTATTATTAGTTTAATAGTTTGGACATTAGCAAGTTGATAATATATATATATATATATATATACATACATATATATCGAGAGAGAGAGATTTCTTCAAGTAACTATAAAACTATTTGTATACATATTATATTGATGGTCTATTGTGTGTGTATGTGTATATATATATATATATATATATATATATCTTCTTCTTATTTATATCACTTTAGAAATAATTGGGTACTTTGGCAGAACATTTAATGCTAGAAAGAGTAATGATAGGTTTCAGATGATGAATAAAACCCTAGTGAAGACAACTTCATGGATTGTCATATACAGGATTTTTTGATAATATTAATATTACTTTTTATTATTATCGGTTGCAAATGTAATATTAGGTAAAGCGACACAATTTTAAATCAAAGATTGCCAGAATATTTTTTAATTTAAAATTTTATTTCAAAATCATCATCAAATAAAGTTTAAGAAGATTTTGAACGACCAATAGAATCCACATGCATAGAAATTAAAGGGTGTTTTTAATTGATTAAAAAATAGTTGAAACAAAATATACTAACAGATATAGATAAAAAAAATTAAAATTATTATAAAGAATATTCTAAAATATAAACTATAATTTATTATGAAGAATATTCTAAAATATAAACTATAATTTATTATGAAGAATATTCTAAAATATTTATGTTCTTATAAAAAGAACCTGTAATGTACTAAGGAAGCACTTTAAAAGACAACCACATACATTTTGCATATGAAGCTTTGAAACAATCCATGTAAAGAGATTTCTTTTTTTAACATTTGTTCTAAAACAATCTTTTTTGTTGTAGATTGAAAATTGATTTCTATAAAATACTATATATATATATATATATATATATATTTGATAGTATTACAAATTCATGTGTTATGATTGCGTTCCATTTAATAGTTTTAAAATAATTGTGAAAATCTAATACCAATTTAGGAAAATAAGTATGACATGCCTTTGAAAATTAATTATATAATGAAATTAAAAATGATACATTTATTTATTTTTTCACAAAATTTATTGATATTTTTATAAGATTGAAGATGGTGCCTAAAAATACAGTCTTGAGATAAAAAGATGACATCTTAAAATACTTCTACAGAACACTTGATTCTAATTTCAGATTCAGTGTTAGATCTTTTGAAATCCTCCAAATCTTTAACTTGAATTGACTCTTACACAAGTACATAATAAAAATCACCTTGAACTCATCTCAATTGGCTCATATATATATATATATATATATATAAATATATAAAAGGTTTCATATCTATAGCATGAAAATCCGATAACGATTACATTTTGAATTATCTAGATACTTTAACAACAAACCTTAATAAGCCTGAAATAAAAATTTAGCTAATTTTTCACAAAGTTCTTTGAAACTTAAATTTCCAACTTCAAAAATGTAACAAGACTCTTTCGCAATGAAAACACCAATAATCAAACAAAATTATGATTAAATTAACTATTCATGCGAACCAGCAATGACCCAACGCGATACAAATATCGAACGCAGAAAAGGAACTCAAAAAGTGCACCAACATTTTTTAAGTTAGCCAAACGAGGAAGACCCAACAAACCCATGTGCCACGTGTATTTCCACGTCACGCATTTCGAAGGCCCTCGTGGCACACCTAGCAAACTATTCAATTCGAAAAACTCCTACTGGCATCGTGATCACCGCCCTTGTGGCGGTACTCTCGGTGGCACCCACCGCACGAAATTCGGCATTGTTCGAGGCTGGCGATGCATCGTCGATCGACGGGGCCATAAGGGCAGCGTGGATGTCCAATGTCGGAGCGCAACTATGAGAAAGTTTGTAGATGCTCAGCCACTGCAGTGTGTGCCGCACTCTCGTCCCCCCACCTTCAACAACTCTCTGTCGGTGTTGTGCGGAATTGGGCGTCGCGTTCAATCCGAAACGAGTCCTCTTCCATGAATGCTGAGTGCTTTGCGGTTTCGTTTCGCCGTCTTTGATGAGCCTCTTGGAATTCATCAGAGCTCGGCGTTGGTTTTACCGGCTGCGCAGGTTGGTAAAAGCCTGGAACTGCCATTTGTGGCTTTGGGTGGGAACCGCGAAATGAATTCGTCGTTATCGCTCCACTTTTTTCTGTTCTGGGAGGGAGCCTGAATTGGTGGATGGGATGGGGAAATGTTTCGTTTTCGTTGATTCGGTGCGACGGAATGCATGACGTTTGCTAGCGAGCTGGCACGAGGAGCTTGGGCCTGATTTGTACGAAACCAGTTACGGAATCAGAAGGTGCTGGCCGACGGAAATTGATCACGTCTTGGTGGAATTGCTGCATTGAGTCTTTGTCTCTCTCGCTTCATTGACAATGGTTGTCAGTCCCTTTGTCCTTGGTTGGCCTGCGCATAGAAGAGCTGATATGTTTTGATGCTTGGAAGGCGAGCATTGCGCACGGTGGTGATTACTTCACAGACCACCACTCGTCGTCTCCTTGCTTTGGAGTTTCTAGGCTCTCTGTGTTGGGCTGCACGTCTAAATCGTGGTTTCTGCGTTACCTTTAGGTGCGTCGAGGAAATGATGCTATTGTAGCTGCACAACTCGTCCCATTTGTCATGTGCTTTTATTTTTTTGATTGTTTGTGTTTTTTTAATAAATAAATAAATAAATAAATCAAAACTCGTTGCGTTCTTTGGAATCTGCTTGTGCTTGTTTTTCTTCGTGCACTGTATGAGTTCACCTCCAGCCTAGTCATCCATCTCATTTTCTTTAGGGTTAGCAGCGTTTCTGTGCCAGGTTCAGATTGGTATTGAAGCGGATAAGTTGTCACCAGTGACATTGCGCCCCCTGACAAATTTGAGTTTTTCACTTGAGGATTTTATGGTACTTCAAGTTGTATCTTTGATGGTTTTACTGTATTCTAATATTGCAGCTCTTGCATTCCCTCCGTTTTGCACTTTAGAGTCGTATTGCCACCAAAACGCTTCGGCTGCTCAAAGCCTTAAGCAATGTAGACGTTCACTTGTGCAGTCATTGAAGCTTGAAGAAATGGCGGTTAGCTCTCCTTTGGTCGTAGTCGGATCGGTGAATGCTGACATTTATGTGGAGGTTGAGCGGCTTCCGGTCGAGGGTGAAACCATTGCTGCTAGAAGTGGCCAGACTCTTCCTGGTGGAAAGGGCGCTAATCAAGCTGCTTGTGCGGCTCGTCTTTCCTACCCTACTTTCTTCTGTGGTCAGGTACATGATTCATGTTTCTAAAATGAAGTTCCATGTCGGGATTGGTTGCGCAAAGGCCAGCTTCATCCAGAAGGAATATAATAAGAACCATCAGAGTGGATGCCTCAGAGGCCCAGTTCGTATCTAATGCAGGTTGGACTGGACGGCCATGCCAACCTGGTTAAAGATGCCCTCGCATCTGCTGGAGTTCGTCTAGATCATGTGAACACGGTCGACTCTCCGACTGGTCATGCAGTTGTTATGTTACAACCAGGAGGGAAAAACTCAATTATCATCGTCGGAGGAGCTAATGTCGCATGGCCTAAGTTAGAAGACGGTATCAGCAGATTAACAGCTAATGCGCAGCAGTTGATCAAGCGAGCAGGTGCAGTGCTTCTGCAACGTGAAATTCCAGACGCAGTCAATCTGGAAGCTGCTAAGGTAAATGGCGATTCCCTTCTGATTCTCCCCTTCTCTTTATATGTCATCAAAATAAATCACTCCGGGATTTTCCCTTAGAAAATTGAGGGACTTTACCCTCTCTGGTGAGCATTGAAGTTTTTGATGTTGAAGTGCCATTTGCTTGAGTCATTCTGAACCCAATGTCATCATTTTCTGATCTGTAGGTTGCAAAAAGTGCTGGTGTTCCCGTGATAATGGATGCCGGAGGTGCGGAAGGTCCTATTCCAGAAGAGCTTCTGAAACATGTTACGGTGCTGAGCCCTAACGAGTCGGAGTTGGCTCGGCTAACTGCAATGCCAACCAATTCTTTAGAGAAAATTCTTCTAGCAGCTGCCAAGGTTCAAGAGATGGTGCGGCTCCATGGCTGTCTTGTAGTTTATTCGCATTCTAGCTGCAATAATGTTGAGTTTAGTTTAGTTTTTTTTCTTTTTACATCGTAACCTAATTTTGCCACAACGATGCGTGAGGTCTCAAGCAAGATGCGGTAATCAGATCACAGGTGCAAGTGCATGATGTTCCTTGTGTTCGAGCAGGGTGTCCAGCAAGTATTGGTCAAGATGGGAGAGACCGGCTCCGTTCTTGTGTCTGGTAAGGAGCCTCCAATTTATCAGCCCGCTATCCTGGCTCCAACGGTAGTTGATACAACTGGTGCTGGTGACACTTTTACAGCTTCTTACGCTGTTGCTCTAATCGAGCGTCAAACACCAGCAGAAGCGCTTAGGTTTGCTGGTAAAGTCTTTACTTCAGTTCTCATTCCTTTTTGAGAAAATCTACTAGTCCTATCTGATTCTCCAAGTTACTCCAACAGCTTTCAAATGAAATAGGCTGTATCTACTCCTGATTTCCCTCAGCTTTCCTCTTTCGTCGCTTGCAGCTGCAGCAGCTTCCATCTGTGTGCGGTCCAAAGGTGCAATGCCAAGCATGCCTGAACGGAAGGCAGTTCTTCAGCTCTTGAAGGAGCATCCCCTTACTGAGGAGAAGCTATCGCCTCCGGACGAAAAAGTCTCTCGTTTTCTACAGGTGCAAATTCTATCTGCTAATAGTAAAATTTTCCCTTATTTTCAAGTGATGAAAACTGTCTGTTCAAGCCACAGAGAGAGTTGCACTTAGCAAGTCCTGGAGGCGCTTTCCGGATTTAAATAAAAATTAATTGGTGTTAGTCCCGTCTCTTTTTCTTGCTCCTCAAGTTATCCTGCAGGAAACTGTACACATTGAGATGTATTCAGTGTCCGCATCAAGTGCATATGTAGAGACAATTTGTAGTAACTGAAAATAAAATGCTGCATACGTCCACTGCGCCGTTCCTTGTTTATTGTAGATTTGATAAAACTGTACCTCATTACTTTTTTCTGCACCTTCAGCCACCTTGATGAGTGAGTTTGTCGCTTTCCTTATTTCATGTGTTTTATGGTTTCTCGAACTGTAGTCCCTGGATTCACACAAGCAGAGAGTGTACCGAGTGCGAAGTGTGGGAGTGTGCGATAGCAAAGGGAATATGTATATCGTCGAGATTGGGCGTGTGCCTATTCGCTAAAGCAGCCAGCGTAATCTTCGTTGAATGCATTGTCCATGTGGGTTACCTCTACCGGAGCTAGAGAGACGTCGAGTATCTGTTTCCCGAATTGGATTTGCAAGGTTCAACCATGTCGATACTGAAGTTGGTAATTAGTCAAGTGGAGCTTTGCAGTGCAGGCATAGAGACGGAGCTGCAGCAACGAAAATTGAAACACCTAATCGTGTAGATTCGAAACCGAATGGTTTTCAAGGCCAAGCTTCTCCTAATCAGCACATGCCGAAGGTCATGGAGGGGCTTAAGATTGGAATCGTAGGGTTCGGCACCTTCGGACAATTCCTTGCGGAGCGGATCTGTGGGCAAGGTCATGAGGTGGTGGCCCTTTCCCGCAGTGACTACCGAGACGTTGCTCGCAGACTGGGTGTCTCCTTCCATAGGTATGTGACTCACACCATGCCAGTATTTCTTGTAAACTTGAGCGTCATTTTCATAGATATCTTTAGTTAATGCTGTTCACTTCAATCCAGTGAATGTTGTGTGAAAGACCTCAATGTTTAGAGAGAATAAGATCACACTAATGGAGCAACTTTTACATAAGCTCATTTGAAAGTTTTGGAGCATCGAAATGTGTTTGTGCAAAGGGTTTCCCGACAAGAGAACTTGCTTCATGGTTGCTTCTATAAGCTTATCCAATCTTGCGAGTTCCCTTCCCATGGATCACAAACCTCTAACATCCAATGTCATGCCTTTCTTGTTCATTGTTCTTTCTTGATGCTATATTATGTGACTGCTGTTCTACTCACTTCAAATGTGCTGGTAATTATTTACCCAATTCTCTCTAACTACATCGTGCATGATTTATCTTGATTACAGAGACGTGAATGCGTTTTGTGACGAACATCCCGACATAGTCATAATGTCCGCTTCCATTATCTCCACTGAAACTGTGCTAAGGTCGTTACCAGTAGAACGACTTAAACCGGACACTCTTTTCGTGGACGTCCTCTCCGTCAAGGGGTTTCCGAAGCAGCTCTTTCTGACAGTAAGTTCATCATAGTCCGTAGCAGATATTGGTATTGAACCTTCAGTTGAGAAAGGATTCTTAACTGCTTTTCGTACTGTTTCTCTCATGCAGATCCTACCACCTCAATTTGATGTGCTATGCACGCACCCCATGTTCGGCCCGAACAGTGGAAGAGCGTCGTGGGCTGGCTTGCCGGTTGTGTATGAAAGAGTACGCATTGGAGAAGGCGCACGCATGGACCGATGTAACAGATTTCTGGACATTTTCAGTAGCCAGGTATTGATTCCTACTCCTGACGTTCATGTTCACTCTTTCATCCTCATTATGAGCCCTGACATCCTGAATCGTATATGCGCATCATCAGGGATGCAAAATGGTTGAAATGTCGTGCGGAGAGCACGATGTACATGCGGCTGGGAGTCAGTTCATCACTCATACTGTTTGCCGGTGAGACTCTTCATTACAGACTTCCAATACACGACCCCGTTAAAAATCTTCTGGGTTTCAACGTGTTGAGAAAAATGTGTCTACTCTAACTTGTGATCTTGAATTCGTAGAATCCTTGGCAAGATGAAGCTGGAAAGTACTCCAATGAACACCAAGGGATATGAGGATATATTGAGACTGGCGGAGACCGGAGAGGCAGACAGCTTTGACCTTTACTATGGGCTCTTTGTACATAATCCCAACGCAGTTCAGGAGGTAAATCTGTTCACGAATTCAGTATCTGCAGCTGTTTTCCACAATCTTTATCTTCTGGCAGCCTCTTGGAATAGATACGATGAGCGTGGTATAATTAGGGTTATGGCGTAACTGAACATAACAATGCTCTGAAAATTTTATCATCTTTTTGGTCCAGCGGTCAAGAAAAACATTTGTAACAAGTATAGTACGTCCATGTTCAAAGTCCATTTGATTCCTCAACAGGCTTTCCCGTGACTGCATTGTACATGCGTGTTGATTGACTTGATGCTGTGCAAATGCACAGCTGCAGCGCCTAGAAACAGCTGTCGCATGTTTGAAGAAGGAGCTCTTCGGGCACATACAGCACACTTCAGGAGAACAAGCCTTTTCTGTTGCCAAGCGGGTGGCAGAAGTCAGCATGTGTTAATCCATTTGTGGGCCTGAGAAATAGCTTCCAAACAAGGCATTCGGATCTAGAATAGGCAACCAGACGTGGAGTAAAAGTGACGATCTAGATCTTGGCACTATTGTAATGGAGCAACACATTGATTAAGCATCCAGCGTACACATTTATTCCAAAAAGAAAAGAAAGAGAAGAAGCATCAGGTATAGAGACTTATTCAGGTCGTATGTGACATTTACACGCTGATAATGGTAATCATCATTACTATGATGTACTGTCGCTACAGAAGTTTTCTAATGAATTATAGCATTCCTTTCAACATACAATCGGGCTGTTTGGATGTTTCCGTTTTGGAGAGTTGTTGGTCCAATTTACACGTGCACAGTTTACAAAAATTACAAGAACAGCACAATGAGGCTGGTCTGATTTGTTTCATAAAACGATCCCAATCAATTTGCATAAATGTACAGTCTCCACAATTGGCTACTCTCATTGTCTGAGAAATTCTTGCAATCAAGCATATGTTAGCTTCGATTATCGCCAACTGATCAACTCGGATACGTTTACCTGTCAACAAGCAAACAGTGACTTCGAAAATTGCACCAACCGTGTAGAGGAAGCAAGATATGGTCGTTACAAAAGTAGTTGTGATCGTTTTCAAGAGTGGCTGCAAGAGGAAGGAATCATGTAGTAGGATAATCGAGGGAATCACCTGATCGAAACCTGCAATCAATCGTTATGAAATTCATACGGTCATTTCATCCTCCATAACAGACCAATCGTCCTCCCACTCGCCGAGACTGGACTCATCAACGTCTGAGAGCTGAATGTCCGACCAGCTGTCTGCACTTTTCTGTGCTTGTCCGCGAACACACTGCTTCAATCTCGCTCTTGAAAACCTCGAACTCGTTCTTAAAACTCTTAAAATCCAGTACCTCTGCATCAATGATATCGCCGTCAGAATGCTCCGAAAGTGGAGCATGCGATTTTTCGCATTCCTTGCCATTGGAAGCCTCCTCTTCTGCCTTCAGGAGCACTTAGCCAGCATCCGCAATTTCCTGTATATGCTTCGAAGCCGTGTCCAGCAACAGAGAAATCGATAATACCCATGTCTCGGGTTCATTACCGTCATCATCACCATCATTTTCTTCTACGTCGTCATAATTGATTGGCCAGTCTGCATCTGCGTCCCATCTTAGGCCAGAATTTACAGTTTGGCGAGCAGACAGAAAAGAAGGCTTGTTCACGCGCCAGTCGGATAACAGGTGAGTGCTGGGAATATCAGACAAGAGCCTTTTGAACCTGCCCTTGCCCTTCCCTCGAGATTTACTGTGAGGAAAAGATCCATGACAGGCCGGAGAGCCAACTACTATCCTTTTTTCTGTTCTGTTATGGCAATGGCTCCAAGGTTTCCGTATCACGTGACCTTCCCTTCTCATCCTGCTACTCTTCCTGCTTCCTTCTTAAACCTCTTGCCTCTCGCTCTTACCCTCGTTCCTCACACCACACAATTCTTAGATTTCTAACCGGCCTCTCCCGCTGCAGACAAAATCACGGTAACCTCAGTGGACACAATGCTAAACGATAACTTCAGACAATCTATACACGGAATATTCTGAAGAAAATCTACGCGGTCACAAAACAAAAGTAAACGGATGAAGGTATAAAAGAAGCCAGACCGAAACACAGTCATAAGATGAATAAAAACAAGAAAGCCTAAACCGCAACATTAATCTTCCACATCTCAACACAAGACTTCCACAACGCACAAAATAGTAGACGACCAGATCCCGACACCGGATTGGTAGATTCACCGCGCTATGACTTGGGAATCGTGGTATACAATTCCAACGTTCTCATTGAGAAGGTTCCGCTCCTGCATGCTTAACACGGCTCCTAATTCACGTAGGGTACAATCAGCAACCGATGAAGAACGCCTACTGCTCAAGTCACCATCGCAGCGGAGAAGCGCAAGGGATTCAAGGTGAAGAATACAATTGTCGCTCTGTGGCCCTGCAGCATCAGAGGTCCGTTAGGGGAACTTCAGCATCAAACTTCATTCTAAGTTAATAATCTTGGCCGCCACCCTTCTCCATGCCTCTTGCCGGGGGGGGGGGGGGGGGGGGGAACGTTTCTCAGCTGAGCAAATTACTCCGGGTGGCAATGTGAGGCCAAAAGCATTCTTTCAACTATTTAGCTGAAGAGGTTGATAGTCCAATAATTGCTAACTATTCAATAAGCAATGGATTAGATAAAGGCTTCATCTGCCAAGAATTGAATACTTAGTCAATATGGTACTTATTGGTTAATTTGGTAATATTTGGTTAATATATTGGTACAAATATAATAGGTGTGTCTTAAAATAATATATGTAAATATAGATCCTACAATGATGATGTTTTTTAGATGCATTTACCATATGAAAAAAAACCAACTATCATTAAATAGAATAATGAGTGATTATTTGGATGACAATGTTCTTTTTAGCAAGATTTAAAATTTTAGAGTTTAGGATATGGAAATCATAACAATACATAGATAGATATTTGTTTAAGAAGAACCACATTGCAATCAATTATCTATTTAGACAATTGATTGTAATAATATGTATTAATTAATATAGTATGGTATTAATAAAAAGCCATCTATTAATTTTTTACAAATATAACTACAATATAAAAGATGATTATGCCTTTTTTTTATATATAAAAGATTTGTTTGAATATGGTGGAGAGACTTTGCTAATAAGTTTGTTAACAAATTTAAGATTTTAAAAGCAAGGTTGAAAAAAGATAACAAATATGTATAAGAAGAAGGTAGATTTCTTAGAAGACATGATTCAAGAGGTATCTCACATAAAATATCTTACTCACAATATAGTTTACTTGTTTAACATATATAAGCAAATCTAAGTGTCAATTTCTTAGAATTCCACATAAAACAATCTATACTTAAAAAAATATTTGAGCTTAGAATGTGCAATTAAGTTTCTTAAACAAAAATCACAACTTTGTTAGATATATATATAGTGAAATGACTCATTGTTTTATTAAATTAATCCACCTTGTTGTAACTATAACATCATTCCCACCCTCTTGTTCTTAACTCATGCTTCATCCATTTTTAGCTCTTATTTCAACCTTTCATTCCTCCATTTTCAATCCTTGTCCTAATCCCTTGTATTTCTAGCTACGGCAATAGAATTTTTCCTTGGTAGGCTCCAATTTTTAAAAGAAGTTGTTTAAAATACTTGCAATAGCTTTATAAATATTTACACAAACTTCAACCTAACAAAGGACAAGCTTTGGCTATATGATGGCAATAGATTTATAAAGAAAGGAGCAAATTTCATAAAAAGAATGACAATGATGAGAAAATGGATGCTCCTTGGTTTGCAGTTAGCTTTGATGGTGTCATATAATATGAATTTTAGCTTGAGAATGCACCAATTACTTAACTTTGGAAGGTAAATAGAAAAATGCAATAACAAGATCTTAACAAGTTGAATAGAACCTTAAATAAATTCTAATTAAACGTTAATAAACCTAATCAAACTTTAACCAAATCAATAGAAATTTAAAAGAAATTACTAAAAAAATATGAAGAAGTCATAAATTAATTTCAAAAAATAATAATAACGAAATATTTAAAAATAATAATAAATAAATATTTAAAAATAATAAAATAAAAATCTTAAAAAAATAAAAAATAGACTTAAAAATACTAAATATAATTTTAAAAAATAGATCCTAAATAAATTCTAAATAAATTCTAAATAAAACATAATCAAGTCCTGATCAAATTTTAAATACTAAATCAATCTTAAATAAATCCTAAATCTTAACCAAATCCTAATGAAATTATAATCAAATCCTAGCCAAACTTTAATCAAATCCTAACTAATCTTTAAATCTAAAACCAAATCCTAATGAGATCTTAATCAAATCCTAAAGCCAAACCAATCCCTAAACAAATTTTAAATAAATCTTAATAAATTTCTAAATTTATTTTAAAATCTCAATGAATATTAATAAATTCTTCGATTTCAACTAAAATTTCATCTATATTTTAATCTAAAAGCAATTAATAAAAAATTAAATTAAAAAAAAATAAAATTCACTTTTAAAAAAAAAAAAAAAAAAAAAAAAAAAACTCCTAAATCTCTTGGATGTCGACTGCAGTCTTTTTCCAACTTAGATGTTGATCTTTTACCAATGATTTCTCCTTCTTAAACCATTCAATTTCTTTAAAAATTTGTTGATGTGTAGATTTGTAAGTTCCAATTTCTTTCTTTAATTTTTGCTTCAATAAAATTAATAGATCTTGCAAGTTTACAAAAATCCTCATTAATCCTAATTTTTAAATATTTGACATCATAATCCAATAAAACTCTCACCTCTTTAAATCTAATTATTTCATCAATATCAAATTATTTAAAAAAATTCAAGACACATACAATAATAAACACAAAAAAATTCACTTATAAAAGTATTATAATACCCACAAAATCCTCAAAATTATAAACCTCTTTTTATTTCTCAAAATTCAAAAGTATTGAGTACATCTTTCATTTTGAAAAACCTTAAAAAGCTCAATATGTCTTCAAATCATATGAAATCAACTTCTAAATAAACTTTCATTAGTTTGCTCTCAAAGTTTGTTTTTTAATCAACCAAAGAATCTCAAAATTACCATAGATATGTGGTTTTATATCTTAGAATCTGATTTTAACCTTGATTCACAACTAGTTGTCTCTAGGTATCGATTCTTGGTATTTTAAAGTAAGTTTTACTAAAATCTATTCTTAATTCCATCTTAAAGATACTTATATGATTTAATTTCCTAATCTACTTAATTTTATCTTATTTATGGCCTTACAAAGAAAATAGAAGCATTATTTAATTTTTTTTTATAAAAAAACATCATTAATACTAAAAGTTTTACTACCTTCTTATCATTTATGCATGTTTTATTACTATAACTTTTTATTAGGCTCTTCTATAATAAAATCAATATTTTTTATCTTTTACAATATACTAATATTATCACACAAAAATGGCAATGATCTTAGAGCTAAAGTGCGCTACAAAATAATGTTCTTTGAGAAAAGAGACAATCAGTTAGGCTTTTATATTGAGCTAGATTCCACTTTAAAAAAAAAAAAAAAAAAAAAAAAAAACAGAGACATATTTTTTATTCATAAGCTGGAGACTTGTGGAATCTTCTAGCAAACTAAGATTATGCCTTAAAAAACAATCATCCATGTTTCGAAGGTTGGTTCTAAAACTTATATGTCAATGTCAAATTTTTAATTATATGCTTA